CTCCAGCTGGAGGTTGTCTCGCGGCATGGCGGCTTCGAAGGGCCACGTGAGGCATCACATCCTCCCCCACCACTTGTTCTCACTTCCTTCTTCAGCAGGTCACAACCATCCGCTAGATGGAAATGATTCCACTAGAATCCGATACACTGGATTTTCAAGACAACTGCGTGCACATTTTCAGTATATTCATTGCCTTGCAAATTTGTTGTGGCGGTTGGACCCAAAATTGACCGACTGACCGGCTCCTGGGTAGCCAGCTCCTCCTCCCTTTTCAGTCTCGTCGTCCTTTCTTCTGTGCAGCAGTGCATACGGGGGTTCTCGGAGGACCACCGTAGCACTTTTTTGGATTGGAAGGAATGTTTTTGTGAGAAAAATAGGATCTATTCGTCAGGGCATCCTGGAAAGTGAATCACGTAGCAAAGGATGGAATACTCAGCACATCCTGGAGGAACAAATCTCCATTAAGAACCTTTGACGCTCACCGTGGCTAGTACATCCCCTTTAAACTGTCCACTTCCAATCTTTAACACAGGATAGGGTTCCTTTGTGTTTCGCTCGCTGAAGGGAAGCAAAGACCAGTCAGATTTCTTTCAACACTCTTCAGCCAATCTCGGGCGCGATGTCCCGGACCTTAGAAGGTGGGAAAAAGCGAGGCGGTGGCAGCGGCGGCGCTGGAAGAGGAAGTGGGGGACGTTCTCAGCAGCATAGTGGTGAAAAATTAGACCTTAAGCAGGTGCGGGAACTTAGAAGAATGGTCTTGGACGAAGTTAAGAGAAGAAAATCACTTTGGGTGGAGTTGGCAGAAGAATAGAAGTTGAGATGCCTCACCGGGATAATCACGCCTTACTCCTCGCACAGTTGATGGAGTTTGCACCACCTGGGACTACCCCCGATCAAATTCTTGAGATGAGCAAGAAGTTTAGAGAACGGGAGAAGCTGAAGGAGGAGATCTGCAAGTTGTGGGACGGTGAGTGCGCGGTGGCTCTCGAGAACAGATACGAGCCTCACATGATGTAATGAATGTCGGAGGGCGGACGAGGATGGGGGTACAGACATGAGGATACGCGTAATGTAATGTCACTCGACCTCTCCCCATCCCGGGGAGCATGGAAGTCACTTAACTCTAATTTTTTACTGACTCGGCCCTTGCCGCCTCGCATGTGTGACTCTCCGATGAAGGAGTGCAATTAATTTATGCGTGCCTTAACCCCCCGCAATTGTCGACTCACCAATCACAGCTCCAGCGAGCAATCCAGAAGACGAATGGCACGATGTCGGTAGGAAGAAGAAGGAACCGATGGTCGCGCCCAGCTCGCGCGGCGGAAGGGGGGGACGTGCCAGTCCCTCGGACGCAAGACGGGGCGCTCCGGGCCAAGTGCTGGATGCCCGAGGAGCGGGATCCTCGGGTCTAGGTGCCAGAAATGGGCCCACCGTGAACGGCCGGGGAAGGAGTGCGCCTCCCGGTCATCGGGGAGGGCGGAGTGGCGGCAGGGGAGGGGGCGGCTCGGGCGTTGTGATGGTGGGGGGTCCAGGGCCTGCCTACAGCAACAGCGAGAGTCGATCGACGTCCGTGGGGCCAAAGGCCTCTTCCGGCAACGGAACCGCTGGGCCGCCTCGGACGGGGGGGCGGAAGCCCGGTCCCTCCGAAATGGCTGAGGCCCCCGGCGATGCCGCCGACCCCGCCAGGGCCACGGGGAGACCGGGGGCCTTGCCAGGCGGAGAGGCCCCTTGGGACCAGCCCGTGTCCTCAGTCTTGTCGGGCAAGCCTAGCGCTGCAGTTGGCCCCTCTTCGTCCTCCGCCGCCCCCTCGCCCGCGTCGGCTTCGA